CCCTACCTGGAAAAGCATAACACGTGTGCCATGACATTTTTCTTTTATTTTTTCTGACGTGTATCACAGGCCTACAGGGCAGAAACCATGACCAGAAGTCATATTACATGAAGCTGAAATGTCATCTTACTCTTTTGAAAGACGAGGACCCAAAAGCATCTTCTCTGGTTCACTTACAGTGGCTTGCTGCTCCTCCTATGTCCTACTGCAGTGTTCTACTAGGTCAGTGTTATTATCTGTAGCACACCAATCCTGTTGGATAATCTACTAGGTCAGTGTTATTATCTGTAGCACACCAATCCTGTTGGATAATAGGTGTTTGGAGGAAATGAACATTATACAGTCAAACAAATGTGAAGAATACTGTGCTGATTAAAATAAAACTAGCAGTTTACTGAAGGTTTATTCAGTGCCTGTACTGTGCAAACGTGCAGTCATGACACTCCAAGATGAGGGATGCATGTTGCATGTTTCCTAAATTGTCACCACCAAACTCTTTTATTCCTTGGAATCTCTTAGGAAATATTTTATCTTGTTGAATCTACTGTGGAAAATGCTGCCGTGGCTAAGGCTGACTGGATAAAAAGAGAGCGATTTCACTAGTGATTGAAATATTCCAGGCACTTCTCAATTCCCCACGCTCTTTGAGAAAACAGTGCAGTTATGAGTTAGCAGGCTTCTTTTCCAGTGATTGAATAAGGGAATTAATGATTGCCATATACCAACCCATTTATCATCATAATAACCCATGAAATGCGTGCGATTATTATCTCTGCTTACATATAAGGAAACTGAGACACAGGGAGGCTAAGTAACTTGTTCAAGGTCACACAGCCAGTAAACATAAAACTGAGATTTGACCTGGGCAGCGTGGTCCCCAAAGCCTGGGCACAAAACCACTCTCCCAACATGCTATGACTGTCCAGTAAGAGCTTGGGAAAATCGCTTCATTTTTCTGACAATTCAGTTGCATAATAAAATGGGGACAATACTATCTACTCTGTCTCCCCGAGTTATTGTGAGATCTCCAAGGGAAAAAAAAAACCCAAACTGTAAAAGGATAATAAAAGAGGCAGCATGGTTATTCAAACATCGACATGGAGAAATGCACTAGATGGCTCGTTTTTTTAAATACCAGAAGTTTAAAGACATAAGTGTTCAATTCCTTTCACCTAAGGTTTCCCTATGTTTATCCCGTTACTCTTGATAGGTGTTTCACAGGTGTTGTAAGAAGCAAGCACGTCTTCTGCAGCCCAGAAGTAACGGCAGGCTTCTCTGCTCGAGGTTTCCTCACTGAGTCTTCCCACTTACCTTACCAGGCTCCTCGGAGAACTACGTGCTTGAGGGCTCCAGGGATTGAGGAGTTTGTATAAACATAAAAACAAATGAATATGGTGCAAATTATTTATATTGTTAAATCATAGGCATAGGCATAGGTATGTGGTATAGGGAGATTCGTGTTAGGAAAACATCTGAACAACATGATATAAAACATCTTTATAAACAAAGCACATTATTTTTAAAAAATTTACTTTATTGAAGTATAGTTGATTTACAATGTGGTATTAATTTCTAATGTATAGCAAAGTGATTCAGTTATATATATATATACATCCTTCATATTCTTTTCCATTATGGTTTATTATAGGATATCGAATATAGTTCCCCGTGCTATACAGTAGGACCTTGTTATTTATCCATTCTATGTACAATATTTTGCATCTGCTAATTCCGAACTCCCACTTCATCCCTTCCCCACCCACCCCCTTGCCCCTGGCAACCACAAGTCTGTCCTCTGTGTCTTTAAAATACATTGTTTTAAACACACAGTTCAGTGGCACAGGGAGTTGCAATTGCATTTAGTTTTAAGATCCAGGAAGGATCTTCTTTCCTCCTTAGGGAGAGGAGAGGAGAATCCCTAGGGAGTGTGTGTGTGTGTGAGTGTGTGTGTGTGTAGTCACATACTACATAAGAATAGTAGTCGACTATTCTTTGATTTATCCTCCAAATAATTGCAGTGCACCTACCTCACAGTACCCCTGGAAGGTGAATAATATAATACCTGGTCATTGCTCTCAACAGATATGTAAGCAACGAGGTATAAGACAGCCCAGGGTTTGCTTTTTATTTATTTATTTATTTATTTTGCGATACGCGGGCCTCTCACTGCTGTGGCCTCTCCCGTTGCAGAGCACAGACTCCAGATGCGCAGAGCTCAGCAGCCATGACTCACGGGCCCAGCCACCCCGTGGCATGTGGGATCTCCCCGGATCCGGGCACGAACCCGTGTCCCCTGCATCGGCAGGCGGACTCTCAACCACTGCGCCACCAGGGAAGCCCTGCTTTTAAAATAGATCTGAACAAGTACTGTTTGGGGCGGGAGGGCAGAGGGCCAGGGAGACGTGAACTGGAGAAGGCCTCGGTCTTGGAGGAGGAGTAGGGATTTGTCAGACATGAAATGGAAAAAGGACACATCAGGCAGAGATGGGTGGGAAATCCTGGGCATATTCGATGCAGAGAAGAGGTGGGTGTTTGAGGAAGCTGAAGGTGGGGCTGTGTGTGTCAGGGAGTGACAGTACCTTGGGCTGGGGCCAGACTGCGCAAGGGCTTGAATGCCATTCTAAGAAGAGTCTGGACTCCCTAATCTTGTAATAAGGAGCCACTGATGAATTTTAATCAGAAGAAAGACATAATGGAGCCATAGGACAAGAAGCTTCACTTAATTAATTTGGTAAAAACCCTAACTGAGCGCCTACAAGGACGTTTCGGGGCCGAGGCTGGGGTCTGGGTTCGCATTAGTGAAAAGGAGAGACAAGGCTGCTGGCCTCGCGGAGCTCATAGAAGGTACAGGAACTAGACCAGGTTACACAGTGTGGTAGGGCTATCCTGAAGTCCAGGCTGTCAGGGAAGCATGTTTGAGGGACACTTAATCCTGGAATGGGTCAGAGTTGTCCAGTTCAGATACAGGGGAGAAGAGAGCTCTAAGGTGAAAGAGCATAACTGTGGCATGAATTTGGGATTTGAATTGTGTTCTAGGCAGCGGCTGAGATGGCTCTCGGCCTTCCCCACCTTGTGTAATCTCCTGGCCTTGAGTGTGGGCTGAATCTAGGGCTTCTCTTTTAATCGATACAGTATGGCAAAAGTGATGTTACAGCCGAGACTAGGTTACAAAAACACTTTGGCTTTTCTCTCTCTTTCTCTATCTCTCTCACCTGCTTGGGCTGATGGAATTCAGCTGCCATGTTGTGAGCTACCCTATGAAGAGGCCCACGGGGTGAAGTACAGCCCTTGAAGAACTGAATCCTGCTGGCAACCACGTGAGTGACTTTGGAAGCAGATCCTTTCCCAGTCAAGCCATGAGATGAGACGCAGCCTCCAGCCAACACCTTAATTGCAGTGAGGCAGAGGCACCCAGCGAAACTGCACCTGGATTCCTGAATCACAGAAACCAGAGGGTAATGTCAGTTTCAAGCTGTTTTAGGGCAATTTGTTATGCGGCAATAGATAACTAATACAAACTATAAGGGGGTGAAAACTACAAGTCAGGAAGTGTATTCTCCATCCTCCCTGCGGTGGGGAAGAATTGCTGTGGGGAACAGAAAGGACCTTCCCCTTCCATTTTCTAGCTCCTTTATCTCTTTCTATTGAACACCGCACCCTGGGGACACTGCCTCCAGGTACAATCGCCAGAAAGTGGTCTCACCTGTTCCTCAGCAGGCCCTGAGGGTCAAGGTGGTATAAGGCTCAGTGTTTATTTTCCAGTGGGAGAGAAACAGGCTTAGAGGAAAGAGAGAGGGAAGCGGAGCCCCAAACCCCAGGATCCTCTTTTTGGTTTGTTTGTAAAGGTGAAATTAAGTGTTGGCTGACTTCTCTATAGCCAAAATGCAAACACTTGATTTAATCTTGCCATATTTGTTTAGTGGGGAAACAGCTACACACTAGACATGGTGGGAAACCAAGCACCCTGGTAGAGCAGAAAAATAAAAATACATCAGAGAGGAGGGGGATCCTACTAAGCCTGGGACCTTACGTCACTGTCCATACGTGGAGACCTCACAGTCCACTTGGGCTCAGTGTCAGTCTTCCTCACCAGCCCATGGCCTCTCCTCACCCAGGTCCCTTGTCCCTCAGTAACTTGACTTTCTTCAGTTTATTTTACACAGCTAGCTGCTGCAATCCAGACTTCTGCCTGTCAAGGAAGAGCAAATATTAATAGAAAATGAACAAAATAGGGTTCATACCTAATAGGAGTTTTTAAAAAAAGGCTTGAAGTCTGTGACAACTCCCTTCGAATAGAATGTCATAAGAAGAGAACTCTACCGATGCTTCCCTTCCTGGGTTCCTGGACTCCACGTGCAGTTCAGAGCGCTCTTTATGCTGCTTTCAATGTGTAAAAAGGTTAAGGAAAATCAAATGGTCATTTCTGTTATGGCCACATAGGCTAACCAAAAGGTCATTTTTTTTTTTTTTCCCTTCATGGAAATATCCTCTCCTAGGAAACCAAATTTCTTTTTTGTTTCCTAGTTTTATTGAAATATATATTGACATATAACATTGCATTAGTTTAAGGTGTGCAACATAATGATGTTTAAAAAAATTTTATTCATGTATAGTTGATTTATAATGTGTTAGTTTCAGGTGTACAGCAAAGTAATTCAGTTATACATATACATATGCCCATTCCTTTTCAGATTCTTTTCCCATATAGGTTACCACTGAATATAGAGTTCCCTGTGCTATACAGTAGGTCCTTGTTGGTTATCTATCTTCTATATAGTAGTGTGTGTATGTTAATCCCAAAATGATCACCACAGTATAGCCATCACCTCACATAGTTACAACTTTTTTTTTTTTTTTTTTTAGCGGTACGCGGGCCTCTCACCGTTGTGGCCTCTCCCGTTGCGGAGCACAGGTTCCGGACGCGCAGGCTCAGCGGCCGTGGCTCACGGGGCCAGCCGCTCCGCGGCATGTGAGATCCTCCCGGACTGGGGCACGAACCCGCGTCCCCTGCATTGGCAGGCGGACTCTCAACCACTGCGCCAACAGGGAAGCCCACAACTTTGTTTTTGTTTTGATAAGACCTTTTTTTTTTTCCAGCATCATGATTTAATTAAGGGAGCATATTCATTGTAGAGAACTGTAGACACTATATTGATGATTGTAAATGTGACTCCTCATTACAGCCTTAAAATTTTGGAAAGCCCAAAGCCCAAAGATGTCAATTATATATCCAAACTACAGGTACAAGACAAGTACATGTATTTTCCATGCTCCAAAATTGAGTACACACTGTACTGTCATAGGGAAGGGGGTTACCAATGAAGACCTGACAATAAAGTACTCAAGATTGATATACCAAAATAAAATACAAAATACGAGTTTATAAGAACAAGTTTGACAATAGCAGAGAGGACCCTTGATAAGAATTTTTAGGATCTATTCTGTTAGCAACTCCACATATACAATACAGTATTATTAAATACAGTCACCATACTGTACATTACATCCCCGGGACTTACTTTTTTATAATTTGAAGTTTGTACCTTTCGACTCCCTTCACCCATTTTGCTCCCCGCCCCCCATCTCTGGCAATCGTCTGTTCTCTGTATCTATGAGTTTGAGGAAACCAAATTCTGATTACCTAGTAAATGTATTTTCTAAGGGATATGGAATCATTCAAAACAAGATATCCACAAATGAAAATAAAGAACGTATGATGTTCTTGATCTGGAAAAGTTCGAGAATCACTAGTTTTGATCAGCCTCCTCACCTCACAGATGAGAGGATAGATTGTGCGATGTCAAGTGATAGCTGTTTTGTGGCAGAAACTGTGTCTAGAACTCAGTCCTCCTGGCTGTGTGTCAGCAATCGTTCTGTGGCTCCACAGCTACTGTCCCTTCATGGAAAGCCTGTCTTGTGAAGGACAGATTAAATTTCTTAAATGTTTGGACAAAGGTGAAGAGCAAGAAACAGTGGTGGAAGTTATAGGAAGGAAAATTTTTGTTTCATATAACAAAACACTTTTAAACAACAGTTGGAACTGTTCAACCAGAGAAGATGCTTGAGTGTTTGAAAAAACTGAAAAAATTAAAATGCATTCAGGCAGAGGCTGAATGGCCATCCTTGATCATTTCCTGTGGTCCTTTTCAGACGTCTAATGTAAAGAGCTGTTCACATATCTGTCTCCTCAGAAGACTCTCTTTTCCTGAAGCGCGGAAACTTAGCTATCCCCATTAACAAAAATTTGTTACGGAAGGGAGGTGGAATGCGATCTCTGATTAGCTTACCGTTTCCATTTCTGACCACCAGGGGACGCAGAAGCCTTCCCTTTACCAAAGACTGGAAATTAATTCACCTAGCGAGCACCTGGGGTAGAAGGACGTGTGCAGGACTAGAGCGAGGATTACAGACCGTATCTTCATGGGAGAGGATGAAGTCAGCACGGAGCAAGCGCTAAGATTGCAGAACAGGGCAAAGTTCTGTTAGAATTACGAAAATATTTACAGCCCTTTTAAAAAATATTTATTTATTTAATTTTGGCTGCGTTGGGTCTTCGTTGCTGCGGGCGGGCTTTCTCGAGTTGCGGTGGGTGGGGGCTACTCTTCGTTGTGGTGCACGGGCTTCTCATTGCGGTGGCTGCTTCCCTCGTTTTGTCTTAAGTAGTTGTAGCGCGAGGGCTCTAGAGCGCAGGCTCAGTAGTTGTGGCGCACGGGCTTAGCTGCTCCGTGGCATATGGGGTCTTCCCGGACCAGGGCTCGAACACGTGTCCCCTGCACTGGCAGGCGGATTCTTAACCACTGCACCACCAGGGAAGTCCTACAGCCCTTTAATCTGGATGCATAGCTCAGATTCTTTCCCTGATTTGAGGATTGAATCTTAGGCCAGTCAGTCCTATTTATTGAGCTCCACTCCATATCTGCTGGATATGTCATCTGTTCCCAAGAAGGAAGATAAATAGGGAAGAGGGAAGAGAGGGTGGAGGTGTGGGGCCGGGGAGGGGAGAAAGACGGAGGGGCAGTGCGAAGAAACCGCCCACTTTTCAGAAAGTGGGATCAGGTACTACTCACCTAGGGGATCAGGTAGGAAAGCTTAAGCTTTCCAATACACACATCCTCCTCTTACAGCTCTGCTCCACAGGTGACGAATCAGTCATTCCTCCTCTGTCAACAAGGCCCCACAGCAAACTGGGAAGTGGGTAATATCTCTGATTTATAGATACAGAAACGGAGTCCCCTAGAGAAACAATAACTTGCCAAAGGTATACACTTTGTTAGTGGCAGGTGTTCTGATTTCATCATTGAACTGCTTGCATTTCTCTTAAGGATCCCCATTGCCAACATCATAAAATCCAAATTCTTCGTCCCAGCCTTCCCCACCCCGCCTCACCTCCAGTTATTTCCACGAGGAACACACTCTTTCAGCTCCAGCACGCAGTCCCCCGGACCGTGAGCATTCCTTTACTCGGAATGCCCTTCCTCCAGGCAGAATTAATTGCTCTCTCTCTCCCACCTGTTACGGCACGAATCACGTTGTCTTAGAGTTCCTCGTGTACGGGATGTTGGCGCCGCCTAGCAATGAATCAGTCTGTTGAGGGCTGGATCCTAGCACAGAGCCCGGCACAGGTAGTGAATGGCTGTTGAATGGAAAGGCTGGAATTGAGGTCAGACAGACCCACTCGCGGCGGGATCTCCCATTGCTGCTCCATCGGGGGACCCGGAGCTACGGGAGGTGGAGTGAGAGGCGTGGAGGGTGGCCGGGCGGCGGCGGGGCACTGGCCCTTTAAGGAGGAGCGCGGGGCGCGGCCCAGGTAAGGGGCGGGTCCGCCGGGCGGATCAGCGCTGCGCGCCGGCGCCGGCCGGGGAGCCGGATTTGGAGTACGCGGCGCCGGCTGGGCCGGAGAGGGCGGCGCGGCGGAGCCTCCAGTGGCCTCGGACGCTCCTTCTCGCCCGCGGCCGCCGCCCGCCTCCGCCTGCTCCTCCGTCCTGGCCGGGCCCGGCCGCCACTTCCGGCCGCTCACCTGGGACGCGCTCACCTGCCTCCGGGCGCCTGGGCACCAGGATGAAGGACCGGCTGGAGCAGTTGAAGGCCGTGAGTCCCGCCGCACCCGGGAACCGGGCGGGCCGGGGGCTGCGGGGGTGGAGCTGCGCGGGAGAGGGTCTTCCCTCGCTCCCCCACATCGAGGCTGGGCGGGGGGAGTGCGGGGCGGGCGCAAGGCCTGTCCTCCCCAAGCCCCAGACGCACCCACCCCTCCTCTCTGGGGTCATGTGCCGGTGATTCATCGCTAGGCTGCAATTTCCCTGGATGCCTCTAGTCTCCGCCCCCCCCCCCCCCCGACCAAGCTGGACAGCATCAGTCTAGAGATGGGATCCGCGGGAGGTGGTGGGTGCTTGGGTCCAGCGGGGCTCTCTGTGAGGTCAAGGGTCACTCACCACCTGCCCCATGCTGCCTGGCACTGTGCCCAGGACCCACCTCCTCCCACGCTCCTCCTCGTTCCTCTCCTGGGGGACGCTGAGACAACTGCCCTCGCCCCCGGAGAGCAGCTCTAGTGGGTGACCTCCCGAGCTGTGAGCTGGTCACGTGCCTGGATGGGGGGGGGGCAGCTCTTCACCACCCAGCTGTCTGTAATTATTAATTTCCCCCCTCCCACGCCCACCCCCATCCTTGGGACAGCTGTGGTCAGGGCCAAGGATCTGAAGGTAGATCGTTTCCGGCTCTGCTGCACAAAAGATGTAAAACCTTAGGCTACGAACTCTTTTGAGCCTGTTTCCTTATCTGTCAAAGGGAGATTGATATGCCTTAGAGATTTGTTATGAGATCAAATGATATAATGGGGCTTAGTATAGAGAAGTGTTAAAGCATGGGTTAAGTCCAACATTCATTGATTCATTGAACAAATAATTATTGAGTGTATTCTGTGGGGCAGGCCCAGTGCTAAGCCCCGGGGATTGGGTGACTCAGGCTCTGTCTTAAGGGAATTTAAAACGTAGCCCGTGATACAAGGTAGTCCATCTACTTGGGAGCTTGTCAGAAGCGCAGAAGCTTAGGCCTCAGTCTGGACCTATGGAATCAGAATCTGATTATTCATAAATCTCCCCGGGTGATCATGAGCACATTGAAGGTTGGGGTACAGGGGACTGGATAGAACTGGGTTTGCCTCCTGGCTCCACTACTTACCAGCCATCCCGTACCTAACCCTGGAGCCAAAGTTATGTCATCTTTCAAATGGGTAGTTGTGAGGACTAAACCCAAGAGAGCGTGCAGAGCCCTCTGTACGGCGCCTGGCACATACAGGGCTAAGCAGTGGTAAATCTTAGGCTCGTCACTGCAAAAGCTCTTCGGAAAAATAAAGCGTCGTACAAGTGTGAGGGGCTTCTGGGCTGATGTCACAGTTATTCTTCTTTCTCCTCCGTTGTCTTGGCTGAGACCTTCTTGACCCTCTCACCTGCTCTAGGTCGTAGAGCTGCGGAGGAGGCCGGGGTGATGGGGAAGTGACAGAGGCCAAGGGGCAGCCACCGATGGTGGGAGTGAGCCTCCCAGCCTCCTACTTGCTCATTGTCATCTGAGCCTCATAACATCCCGTTTACTGTCAGGGCAGAATTGATTGCCTTTGTTTTTAAAGGTGAGGAAACTAGAGCTCAGACTGGGAAGGAGGGACCCCCGCAGGTCACAGAGCTGGTGAGGGCTCAGCCAGGGGAGGAACCCAGGCTGCTGACCCCTCTTGCCCTGGGGCGGCAGAAAGGGAAGAAGAGTGTGGTTTTAGAGATCTTCCTGGAGCGCGCAGCAGGCAGTCCCAAAACAATGCAGAACTGGACGGCAGGCGGAGGTGGCGCCCTTCCCTACGTTAGGAAGTCCATTCCATGTCCGGCTTGCGGGGTCTTAGTTCCCCGACCAGGGATGGAACCTGTGCTCCTGGCAGTGAGAGCGTGGAGTCCTAACCACTGGACCGCCAGGGAAGTCCCTCCCATGGCCCTTTCAACGGCCATTGCCAACAAACAGCACAGAGCCTTAACTGAGCTTTGAGTTCCAAGTATAAATTCACTTTGCCGAGGAACCCAAGCAAGTCCCTTTGCTTTTCCAATCCTCACTGTTACCTTCTGTAAAATGGAGCTAATGCTGTGTTTCTCCCTTTCCCTCTTGGGGATGTGGTGGAAGTGAGATTGTAGACGGCGCCGTTATGATGGCAGTGCTGTTCTGACATCACAGGTGCTGTTCCAGCCTTGTGGAGCAGGGGGATGGGTGGTAACACTGCAAGAGGCCCTGGCTGTGGGTTCAAAGGATTCCGATTGTGGCTTTGCCCTTTAAGAGCTGTGTTCCTTGGTGTCACTTTACCTCTCTGCTCCTCCAATCCCGCTTTGGAAAGCAAGGAGTTTGGCTGATCTCGGAAGCCCCTTCTGGCAATATTAACGTTTTTCTTGAAGACTGTTTGTTGTTAAGGTTTAGATGGCTTTTGGCTTCTGGCCCACGTCCGCTAACCAGCCCCTCCTTCCCCTGGGAGAGAGACACCCCCGCCGCCCCCACCCCCCACCCCCAGCAACAAGATAACCATCTTGTCTCTCTGATTCCTTTTATCAACGTTTGCTAACTGCATGAAACCAATTTCACCCTGAGCGCTGGTGCAACCTCTGCTGTGGGGCTCTTTCTAAACTCTGGGGGAGGCCACGCGTAAACTGTCTCCAGATAGCTGGAGAGCTGTCACGTGCAGGGGATTAGCTCTGCTCCGGGTAGATAGGAGGAGAAGACGTGAAGAGTGAAGAAGCGAGGCTGATGGGCAGACATGAGGGCTCTGTAGAAAGCGTTTTTGGTAGTCAGAGCTGCCCGAGGATGGGCTGGGCTGGCAGGACATGGGAGGGAGGCAAGAAGCTTGTTGGGATGTGGCATGTTGTAGGAATCTGAGTGTTCTTGGAGGGGAGGGGAACCACATGAGGAGATTCAAGGCCTCCATCAACTCTGAGGATGTGTGTTTCTAGAGATGCTTCATTGTGAGCCTGTCCCAAGCACTGGGAGGCTCTGAAGTCCATAGGACTGAGGTCTCAGAGTTGCTCCTCTAAAGTGGGTCATCGTACCCTCCCTATAGGGTCACTGAGGGTGAAACGAGATAATCCGTGATAATCACCCACCACAGTAAATTCGAGTTCCCCAAACTTGACCTGCTGGGAGCAGCATCCACACTGAAGGGCACCGCTTCCTGAGGCTACAGTCACAAGCCCTGGCTCATCTTATCTCTTGCATGGCCTCTCCTGGCTGGCCATCCCAGCAGCCTGCCCTTTCAGGGACATCAGACAGGCTTGCCAGGAATGTGCGGTGCCTACACCCAGCCTGTCTCACAAGGCATTTCCTCCTGATTTCTCACCAGCTGAACTTTGGATCCGCTGAGTCCAGACAATTCCCATGTAGGAACCTCTTACCTGGCCCTCTTTTCATTCAGCAAATGTTTACGGAGGGACTTCCCTGGTGGCGCAGTGGTTAAGAATCTGCCCGCCAGTGCAGGGGACACGGGTTTGAGCCCTGGTCCGGGAAGATCCCACATGCTGCGGAGCAACTAAGCCCCTGTGCCACAACTACTGAGCCCGCGTGCCGCAACTACTGAAGCCCGTGCACCTAGAGCCCGTGCTCTGCAACAAGAGAAGCCACTGCAATGAGCAGCCCGTGCACCGCAACAAGGAGTGACTCCCGCTCGCTGCGACTGGAGAAAGCCGGTGCGCAGCAATGAAGACCCAACGCAGCCAAAAAAAAAAAAAAAAAACCCCAAACAAAAAAACCAAGCGCCTACTGTGTCCTAAGCCCTCTGATAGGTGCTGGGGATGGGGATGGTAATGAACACATACTCCTGGGCCTTAGGGAGGTCACAGTCAGCTAGGGAGACACACAAGAAACAGACACAGTGTCCCATCCTTGGGACAGAAGCAGCCGCAGGAAGACCCTATTGGCCAGCCCCTGGGGACAGGGCACTAGGGCCTGGGGGCTCCTCCCAGAAGAAGCGATGCTCCTGTTCAAGTCCGTGTTAAGGCTGAAATCTAATTCCTTCAGAGGCATGGGGAGTCTCCTGAGAAGAAAGGCAAGGATCCTGGATTTTCTCACCGTTCTCCCGTTGGCGAGTGCTTCACACAGACAACACGATCGGTGCTTTCTGACCTCTGCGTGCCTAGCGTCCTGCTGGGCATCCTGCTAGGCAGAGTCATTTAATTTTTTTGGCCACGCCGCATGGCTTGTGGGATCTTAGCTCCCTGACCAGGGATCGAACCTGGGCCACGGCAGTGAAAGCACCGAGTCCTAACCGCTGGACCGCCAGGGAATTCTAGGCAGAGTTCTTATACAAAGTCCTGGTCTGAAAGAATACATGGTCATATAGGGAAAACAAGGGTATATTCCATGAAAAGAGAACCCCCAACTTCAAAGGTGGATAATGCTCTAGAGAAGCAGTGATGTGTGGGATGGAGGGCAGGGACTTTGGATCCCTGTAGAGATTGACCTGTAGAGACCTGGAAACATCTTGGGGTTTGCTGGTTCCTCCACAGCCAGCGCCAATAAGGGCGCGCTAATGAAATCAACCACCTGAGGCCCTAAGGACCAGACTGACCTCTTCGCTCTTTCTGTTCTGCCTTGTGTCTTGCTGCATCTTAAGTGGCTTGGCCTCCTTCCCCATTTGAAGTTCCCCCATTTGAGTTCCTCAGGAGCACGGTTATAGTATAACCATCAGAAACGTGGAGCTGTACGTCCCCTTTAGAGCTTAATTCCTTCCAAGACTATTTAATGAGCCCCTACTATGTGCCAGGTGCTTTGGGTCACGGCCAGGTTGTAACACCCTGCCTGGAGACTGTCCATTGAGATGCCATCCTTTGGTGATAAGATGGCTAACTGGTCCGTGGTTCCTTCCTCACTTCCTCCCTCTCCCTGACAGGATGCATCCCCTGGGAGAGCTGTTCTGCCATGAGCAGGGCTGAGATGAGAGTGATAGGGATTGAGTAGGGATTACAGACCCATCAGCCAGAAGCCAGAGAGAAAATGCTTGGCCGAGAGAGCCGGGGATTAGTGTTATTTTTATTCCTGGGAGGGGAGCGGGGAGGCCGGGGGTGGGGGTGCTGGCGAGA